AACCAAAGGGCGACGACGATCGGCTAATGGGCGAGTGGCGCGCATCGGCCCATGATGCGCGCATAACGATGGAGGGTCAGGCCACGGAGATCGATTGGGATGTGTTAGCGTCGGGCGGCGAAGACGCGTCGCACGCTAGGCACGCGGTTGACTGGGACGCGTGCGGGGAAGCCGACGAAGGTGCGGGGCTCACGGACAGCGGCGTATGCGATGAAGGCGATCGAGGGTCGGGCGTTGGCTGGGACGCGAGCGAGGGAGCTGAAGGAAACAACGGTGCGAGCGGCACGGGGACGAGTGACGTGCGCGATACTCGCGGGAGTGGCGAGGACGCGCGGGGTGCGGAGAGCAGCAGCGATAGGCGCGCGGCAGCGCGCGAGTGCGCGACAGGCGCGAGCAACCCAATCCTAGGGGGTGTAGGCATAGCGGGCGACGAGGCACACGCGCAGGAGGAAAGCGGCGACGGCGGGACGAGGGCGTTGTCACGCGAGTGGGACGCACATGTGCGAGGCCTAAACCTTGCGGGTTTAGGAGTGCCGGGTGAGGACGGGCACGCGTGGAGAGAGGTCGGCGACCAGCAGGGATGCGCGAAGGGTGGTGCGTGCGTAGACGGACTAGGCCCAGTCCGCGCGGGACTAGGAGAAGCGGGGGCGCGCGCGCACAATGACGGGTCCGCCGAGGAATGCGAGACGTGTGCGACACGCGAGAGTAAAGGCGGCCGAGAGTTTTAGTATGTAGGATATTTAGGTAGCTTCTAGATTTGCTTGGTGTGCAAGCCAAGCATTAGTTATTTGGTAGGTTTAGGATTTTATTGCTTTCTAGACTTAGGATTTAATATTTAATTATTTATTTAGTTTCCTAGTGAGATTAGATCTAGACATAGTTGGTATCTATAAATACCCCATGTACCTCATCATATTTTACATGTTGAATTGAGTATTGAATTGGTGAGCCAATCTTGAGGGGGAACTTATGTTCTTAACGTGTGATAAAGAAGGCCATTAGAGCGTCTTTACATACAGTGTCGGAGAGAAGGCCAATAGTGCGTCTTGAAGTCACGGTGTCTAGGAGAAGGCCGCAGTGCGTCTGCTAGATACATCTATCGGGGATAAACGAAGGCCTCAGTGCGTCGTTTATTCGCAACCCACAAAAGATCGATCAGCGGCCTTTCATCATCGGGGCGCGACGTGCGGGGGTTGCGTGCAATGCGCGCGGTGGCATCGGGGCGAGGCTCCGGGAGTTTTTCCGGCAAGAAAGGGAGCAAAGGAGAAGAAAAACTTCTGTAATTTTGTATGAGGGGAGAAAGAGGGAGAGTGATGATGTGAGGGAGAGAAAGAATGTCTTTTCTTATTCTTTTAAAAGCTAAGTCAAAGTGTAACCCCCCACTACTTAATCATGCTCATAATGAGGAGTTAACATGGGAATAAAATTTGATTTTTGGGGGGTTATGGATGATGCTAAATGAATTCAAATTCAAACATTGAAGCCATGCATGCAAAAGAGATGGAGGGGCGACGGGTCGGGCAGTTTCCCCGCATGAGGGAGCGGCTGGAGCGCGAGGCGCGCGGCTTCAGGCCCGGCGCGAGGGCTTGTGCAAGTTAGGCCCGGGTCGATGGTGTGAGCTCGGTTTCAAAATTCCCAACTAATGAGTCGTCCGATTATCCAGTTCGATCGATAAATAATTTCGGCTCGAATAAATATACTACTAAAACAATCGTTTAACAGTCTATTAGGCTTTTGCCTCCTATCATGTACCAAAAAAAAAAGAATTCATATTTTCAGTTTGCATCTCTTTCATTCTCTTCCTTCAACCTTTTGCATTGTAAATGTCAGAGTTCTCAAGAACAGAATTGGTTTAATTATAAAATGGGTGGGGTCAATGAAGTTGAGTCCACGATCTTAGATTTGACTTGAGTAGATTGGTCCCTTATGCATTTTACTCCCATAATGATAAATCGAAAGTGAGGAGAGGAGGTTGTTTAGTTGTCTTGATTTCGTAGATGTGAAAATCAAAATATATTATTTTACTAATAAAAACAAAGGCTGTTATGAGTAAAATATGGGAATAAAGAATGCATCAATTATAATCATACTCTTTATGTACAAAAATGTCAAAAGATATTACTACGCAAGCAAGTTCGCAAAATTCCACTAAGCCAAGTAGTAATCAATTCAGTGGATAGGCCTGTCATATAAAATAACAAGTTAATCGAGCCTTCACAGAACTCACCCTTTCTCTTCTATATCAAAAACCACAAAATCTTAACTAATCTGCTTCCTCTCGACTGTATTATTTTCATTTCTTTTGGGGAGTGATTGGCAAATTATTTCATGTTTAACCGCTGATGTTTTTTTGGTGGAAGCCTCATAAACCCCGTCAATGGTGGTTTCTTCTCAAAACCAAACGACATCTTAGAAACCTTAGACCTTTGCCAAGTGAGCCTCAGCAAGCGAAGAATTGAGATCCTCCCGAGATTGTGATCTCCTACTCTGGAGACGCATTTGGCCTCTGTGGGGCGTCCAAAAAGGACCGAGGGCATTATGGTCAAACTGCTGCATCTGTCCTAAGCTGCCTGACGAATAACTATGTGCTGCACTACTAGATGAAGAGTAAAATGATGATGATTCAGCAAACTGAATGCCCCCACCACCAAAATTGAGTCTGCTATCAAACGGTCTTTGTTGAGGAGTGGCCGCAACTGTAGGGCTCAGTGGCATCTTAACTCTTCCATCACCTGACCAATGCAATTTATCAAAAAGCGGCCTATATCATTTTATTTGCATGCCATGTCAATAAACAGCTGGGCTGCTTGTTTTTGTGTTCAGACTTCAGAGAGAGTATTTTCAATTTTTACTAAACAAAATTAAGAAAAAAAAAAAAGAATGATTTTTCAAAGAATCTTGTTTTCCTTCTGAAGATATTGATTTGTTAGGGTTACTAACATACTTTTGTTTGCCTAGCAAGCCCATATTCACATACAGGGTCGATCAATGCAGACTATCCGTGAGACATGGTCGAGTTACAAACTATTCTGAGTATCTTCTGAAATTAATACTTTCCCTTACTTACGTGAAGAGGTCTCGCGGAAAGATGATAATCTTACGGAAATGTGGACAATACCAAAGGCAATATTATGATCGGATTAAACTGACATTTATCCTTAGAGAAAGAGATAGTTAGATGGATACCTGCATTGATAGGGCTCCAGCGCTGAAATCTGAAAGGAGACGGGATATTGAGCACTGAATTAGTGGCCCCGCTGTTATGCCTGAAGAGTGGGACATAAGCCCTCCGGAAAAGATTGGGTACCCACCAATTGCCAACGTAGGAAATCGCACACACCAACACAAACAATGAAGCAAACAAAACCCCAAGCACAACAAATGGACTCATCCTAACCATAAAAATTGGGTACCCATAAAATCTATGAGGAAAAAAAGCCTTCCCAGCCTCAGACAAAGCCACCCCAAGAGTCCAAGTGATGCTACCAGAGCCGACAATAACATTGCTATCACTAATATGCAACCCTTCCCTAAGGAGAAGAGCAATGTACGGTGCCCTAAAGCAGTATTGCTCAATAAAAGGCTGAGCGACGACACTTTTTCTCGCAACATCCCAATTCTTTCCGCAAAATTCACGGCCCTTTTCCAGGACATCATCCAAGGAGGCAACCGGGGTCAGGTTGAAAAAACGGTACACAACATAAAACCCAGACATAGCATAAAATTGGCCTTTCGGACGGGGTAGATTTTCGGCAAGGGCACATGGCTGTAGCTCACAATCGAGTCCCGGCTCAAGATTTGACCATTCGGATAGATTAACAGCGACTTTTGCCAGAGCAGTACATTCATCCCATTTTGGGTTACCTATAAGCTTAACAGAAACCCCAGGTTTTTTCCCTTTTTCATTTATGCTTTTCCCCTCAGAAGGAGAATTTCCATCTTTTAGCCCAACGGATGAACATTGTGAGCACGAGTACTGCTCTTTGTAACCAGTATGCAAACATGGGTGTTCGATTTCAGTTCTTCCAGTTAATAAATCTGCATTATTGATGTGAGGAAGATTTTTAAGAAGGTGTGCCACAGATTTATCAAATGCGTCATTGAGTCCATATCCAGATAAAGAATAAGCACTCAGCTGATTGTTTACAGATCCAATGCTGAGCTTTAAGCTGCTTTCCTCATGGCTACTAAGATTATTTTCAAAAGTGACCTGCAACGATGAGCCACCCAAGTCAAGCGCACCATATGTTTCCATCCTTGGGATAGACCCCAAAACACCCGTATGATAATTCAGAGAAATCCATCCGTAATAAGCTTCTTCCATGCCCGTGATAGTTTTTACCCACTCCCTTTTGCACATAAAATGTGAAGTCTTTAAAATCGACCACGCATTATCAAGAAGCCAATTGGAGTCTGCAGGCGGTAGCCTGCGAACTCCAGCTGTAGCATATAGAAAGAGAGAGGTTGACTTATGCGACTTTTTTGGTATTTGCTTCTCGGCCCATTTAATGAGGGGCTTAATTACTTTTCTCATACCGGATGTATTGTGTACCAATTTGTCAAATCCGGGCTCGGTCTCCATTCTGTTGTAAGCACGCCCTATCTGCGAACCGGATTTACTCTTGAAACTCTCAGGCAGTGATTTTACCAAAATAGGAAAACGGTCATCTTTTCTGTCATTGATTGATGCCTGGTACACGTAAACGCGAGTCCCCGTGCTCCCACAGTCGAGCACCACATAATAATTGGATGATCCACTAGTCCAGTTCGCGTACAAAATTACCGACCCCAAACAAAGACAGGCAAATAACAATAGACAAAGAACATAGAAAACTCGCAGACAGCTTTTCCTTGTTGATGAAACAGGCTTTTCTTTGGAAAAACTTGATGTGCCATTTTCTTGCTGCAAAAACTTTTGTGGTACAGCATGGCTTGGGCTACTTTCTAATCCTGGACTAAGACCATTTTCTGGATCAACTTGGTAATAAGTGGACAAATCTTGAAGGGATGATGAAAATCTCAAATTAGCCTTCTTAGGGCTCGAATAGGTAAAATTATGGTGAGAACCAGGAATAGGAGGCAAACCGGATGGTTTATACGAAACTGAAGCCTTTGGGTTCGTAAAACTCAATGCTGTGGATGAAAAAAACTTTGAAAATTTACTGAACACCATGTTATCGAGTATGAGAAGTTAGCAATACAAAATAATCTTTCATTTCAGACAACACTGGCCCATTTATCATAAGTCATGACCAAAACAGCACGTGTGTGAGTTCTGCAGTCCTTACAAGCAAGATCTACTGGAATGAATAATATGAAACCTGCAGATAACAGGAAGAAACAAAAGCACAGTATTATTGGGAGAATAACACAAAACGGCAAATGTCGCTAAGATACAAACTATATTATCAACAATGATTGAAATGAGATAATTTGTGCTCAAAGGAATTATATAAACCCCATAAGTACAGAAAACGTAATTTGAAGTTTCAACCATTATTGAAAATGTTACTATGTTCCTATGTTTTCGACACGTACAAGGAGAGCAATATACAAGAGCACCTGATTTCAGAACAAAGAAATATACTATAAATCATTCAGATGTTAGAACTCGATACATAGTCTATTTTTTAACTAGATAAAATTTTTGAACAAAATTTCCAACCCTTTTCTGAATTTCTCGCAATAACCTTAGGATCAAAATTACACAAAATTCTACACAAAACCAAAAAGACTCCATCAATATCACGCTAGAAAAATCAACTGTAACCCAATATTGATTAACACGTCAAACACAACCAAGATCGTGAATAAAAACCATAGATCTTGAAAGCCACACACAGGAGAACAAGGATAACATAAATTCCATCACATATGAACATAAATATCAGAGAACTAACCATCAGATCATTACGAAGTTAAATTTCGAAACACAGTCCAGAAAATGCCTATTTGCGGGACTTATGTGGCAGATCCAAATTCCAAAATGGTGCTCTCACTTTTAATTGAGACAAACAATTTGTAACCCACCAGCATCTGCGTGTTCAAACCAGGCCGTCACTCTCTCTCTCTCTCTCTCTCTCTCGCTCGCTTCTTTCTCTCAGTAAAAGGTCGAAGTTTTCACAACTGTTCATTAGTTTTTGAAAATCTTGTATTTTTTTTTTTTTTTTTTCTCCTTTAACTACGTTATAGTAACAGTTTTCGTTTTACTCTAAAACCACTATTAAATTTCGTTTGTTTTGTTTTATACCTTTTTAAAAATCCCATTTAAATAAGTTTGTTAAATATTTATGTCTTTTAAGCTTTATCATTTAACCCTAAACCCTAAATCCTTGTCTTTGCATCAAGGAGTGACAGATGCGATGGTTTTAGCCTAGGTCCTGTGTCAGTGGGCTGTAAATCTTGTTTGAGGTCTGCTCTTTTGGGTTTGTTGTTATGATCTGTGTTATGTAGTCGTGTTGTTCGGTCTGGATTTGTTTTTGGCTTTGGGTCCTAGTTCTTGGGTTGTTATTTGTTTGATTCTGGTTGTGGTGTTGTCTTGTTTAGGCTAGCCGAGGGCTTGTCCTCCCAGCTTGTTAGGATTGGGGTTTTCCCTTGTAAACATTACCCATTTTTTGGGTCGTTTTTTGGAGTGGATTATATCGTTGGGAAAAAAAAAAGCTTTATCATTTAACTAGTGAATATCTCGTGCAATACACGACGCACTTGTTTATTAAAACTTTTTTATAACCTTATTCCAACAATGTATTAGCACGCTAACCTTTTAT